ATATATATATATGCCAACATTAAATTTGACAGATTCTTTTTAGTGACGAATCAAAATAAAATTATTCGTCTTTTTTTCTTGATATTATTCATTAGTTTAAAATTCACTTTTGATTTTTGTAGGATCTACAACTAGCAGTATAGCCAGCACGTTAATATTATGTGAAATAACGTAGCTTCGAATGTATATTGTTATACATTTTAGCATTCTTTTTCCTTATGTTTTTTTTATCTGTTAAGCAAATTTAAGATTCAATGCTTAATACTTCTGCTTTAAAGTAAAGAGCAGACTTATTTTCCAAATGCTATTCGCTATATCGAGGCCTCATAGATATTCAAATTAATCCAACATTAGTATATTAATTGGCACGCTTTCACAAAAAATTATATAATCTCGATCTTGTTATGATTTGATGGTACAAAGATAACATTGATATGATTGAGGCAAAAAACAAAAGAGAAGGAAAAATAATTCAGAAAAGCTTGCAACGAACATGATAACTTACGTTTTCCGCAGTGTTGACTGCAACATTAAGATGTAACTTATGAACAATTTGTATCGGTAGTGTAAGAAAAATACAAAAAATCGTCTGGAATAAAGTTGACCAAAGTTTCATCGATCTGTTCGAATCTGTTTAAAAGGCGGTTGTTTTACTATACCCTTTATCTCAATCGTATTATACATTCAAAGTATTTGAAAATACAATTTAGGATTAATATGCTTTTCATTCTATATGCAGTAGCATTTGTTTTGTGCAATAGAAATTCACTTTCTCACAAATCTGTTGTGTTTTTTGTATCTTGTACATAGGAGTATAAGAAAAATGCCAGGGAATAAATACTCTTCTACATGGTGCTTTAACAAAACAAATGCCATTTTCTTTTCGTTAATGAATGTTTTCCTTGCTATAGCGCATAGTTAAGTCATTAAAATAAATATATGAAGATCTGTTTTCATGTGTAGTATTATCTTTTATGACAAACCTTCTTTTATATCTAATTTTTATAAAATTTATTTCTCTGGACAGATGTAAAATTAATTACCAATGTCTAAAATATTTCTAATATTTAATAAACAAAATTAAAATCATATATTAATCAAATTAAATACAACATAAAAATATAGTTCTTGAAATAATTTAATTATTTAAATAAAAATAAAAATCTTCCAGATTATTGCAACAAATTTTTGCTTTCATATTTATTTTTTATTTTTGAAATTTCTGTATTTACTGTTTGTAATTTTTACTTACAGTGTATCCTTTTATTTCGTGGATATTTTTGGTGATCTTAAAAACTATAAAAATTTATATATAGTTAGAACGTTACAATTCGTGTGATTGGAACTGTTACATCTTTACTATAATCTGTATACAATAATGTGATTTGTGCAACACAACAAATTTACTTGTATATTATAATCGTTGGAAACAAATAAAACTTGTAAAATAAAGAATTCAACCTTTTGCAAAAATTTATATCTACGAAATAAGATATTATTATTTCTGAAAAACCTGTATTTTTAACAGAAAGAAAATCTGATGCATTTAGATACTGACCAAAGCTTTGTTTATAAAAATTATTTATTACGTTTTTTCTCTATTTTTGTATAATAATAGAGTTAATAAAACTATGTGCTTTATCAAATGTGATATAATAAAGAAGCGACATATTTGTTGACACAATCTATGCTGGTTCTATTCTCTCTTTGCCTACGATTTCTTCAAATATGTTTATATTTTTATCGCAGAATTTTCTGCCAGCAATCTGCTGACATCATTGATAATAAACTCTGCATTAATTTTAGTCGTCTTGCAGATACTCTGCAGGATCTATTTTCGACAAAGGCTAGAAAAGAAATGTGCCAAAGTATATAGCGATGTAGTTATATTGTCAATATAATGTCAATATAATGTCAATAAAATGTCAGTATCTATTATCTATCGAACACTATCGAGCACTATCGAAGGACAATCGTTCGGACTCGTCTCAACAAGCTTACTGCTTGAGAAAATATCTTCAAGTATGAATCTACAAACGATCGCAGTTTTTATCGTGACGTGTGTGTCATGTCAATATGCACGAGGGTGAGATGCAATAATTATTTTTTATCTAGAATCTTCAAAATTTGCATGCATCTATAGACATTACACAATTGTATAATTTTAAAAATAAAAAAAGAAATGTAGAATTATAGAGATCTAGAAAAATCACAAGTGATTGGAAATAACTGGTCTCATAAATTAACCTCTATTGCTGTAAATAGATAAATTTTTGTCTTTATTTAATTTACAGTCCTTGTTGTAAAACAGAATTAATACAAATTAATAGTTATTTGAAAAATTCAATATAATATGATGTATATGTATAACCTTTCATCTAATCATTCAAATACATTTTTTAATTATGTGGAGATTGTTAAAAAGTATAAATATAAAAATAGACAATAAATTGTTATATTTTCATATATGCATGCTGAATTCAAATAATTCATGCAAAATAATCACATTTTGTTAGTTGTATAAGGTTATGTAATTTCTATAGGTTAATTTTTATCGAATCATATTTAGCATAAATCTATTCGCAGCATTTGAATTTAATTAGAAATTTAATTAGGGACAGAATGATGCTGTTCGATTTTACAAATGCACAAAGTGTGGATGATTGGCGAGAGATATCCGACACTGTAAGAACTGTGGGGAAATCCAAAGCAGTTTTAACACTGCAAACAAGTCAGCTTTTTCAGAGAGCGATCCTCTTCACATTATTGAACCCACAACCGAACGGGGCTGGTTTTGCTGGTGTTAGAAAGTCGATAAATCTCAACTTGTCGAGTTTTAAGAATATCGAGATCACTTGTCGAGGACAAGGACAAAATAATCACTACAAGATATCTCTAAGACATCGTGGACAGAATTCAAATCAGGATCTCAGCTACGAACAATTTTTCACAGTAAATTTTCAAAACTTTATTGACTTTACTTTTAAGCTTATCATTATCATTTTTTATTAATGCTTCTGATGAACTTTCAAGTTTTCACATCAGTGAAATATCGACCTGAAGCTCTTCTGTTATTATCAATACTCTTCAAAATTTTCACCTCAGGTACCAATATCGGACAACGAATTTTTCACGATGACATTACCTTTAAAAGACTTCAAACCTTATTATCGTGGACGTGAAATTCCGGACGGCGAGCCTCTGGACACAGCAAACATCACTACGTTTGAATTTCAAATTTACGGAGGCGTTTATCTGCCGATCAAACAACGTGGCGTGTCGGCGTTAGAGATAGAATCTGTGACAGTTTCTTAACATTGTATTCATAATGAAAGAAATTAAGTGTCTCTCCTGAAACTTTTATTTTTGAAAAGTATCATATAAATGCTATAAGTGACATGTATATCTGGCATTCCATATTTGAAATAAATAATATATCTTATGTCTTTACAATTCTGTTAATAAAATCAATTCAAATGTCAATTTTTTAAATGCTTATGTTAAAATGTTTCATTACCTGCAAACAAATGGAAACGATATCTTATCGTTTTTTATATTACACATTATAAATTTTGTAATACATTTGGACTTCAAATTTTAGCAAAAAAATTTTTGAATTTAATTGGTTGTACATTTTTTAAAAAGAATATAAAATGTAGATGTTTTCCAAGTTTAAAACAGATAAATCTTTTTTTTTACCACTCGCTTAAGTATGTTTCTTCAAGACAGTTGTACAGTTTCAGATTTTGATTCATTCTGCAAGAAAAAAAATACACTTATTATTTCAGAATAAGAGAAGAGCGAGAGAACAGGAAATAATGTTTTACTCACTCTTTGAAGGCCGCTCCTATTTCCGCGACTTTAGAGGGATGACATACAACGGTAGTCTTACATTTTTTCGGATCAAACAATGGCTTAAGGTACAAAGCCGCCACACGGGTCATATCGTCCATAGTAACGGCAGAAATACGTCGTACCATTTGATGATTATAATCACGCGGCACGTTTCGGAAGTACGATCGTAATGATTGATTCACTGTGCGGCCCACGGTCATCTCTTGTTCGATTATTTCGAAGATTATAGACGATTTAGCTGATTCATAAAGTAGCTTCTCCCACTTGTCGCCAGCGAGATGCGTTTCCTATGGCAAAAAAACTTGCGATGCAAAAGATTCTACAAGTTTTTTTATTTAAAAAAAAGTATGTATCATTATTCATACCACTATTGATTTCGTCTCCTTATATGCGGCTACGACGTTTGTAGCCCTATAAAAAACCAGATACAACAACCCTTCATTCGGTACCGAGTTAATATTGTATCCGTATGAAAGTCCCAGCCCTCGAATCAATCTCCACATAGGTCCCTAAAATCATGTGTTCTTGAAATAAAGATGAATTTGCGTTTTTAATCGGCAATTATATACAAAGCAATTACTTACCTCCGTTTGAATTAAATATTGCAAACAGACAGCCAAAGCTGGCAAATCGGGATTGTGATAATCAGTTATGCTCGGACAAGTCTGGAAGAGGAATGAAGACTCGATACATCCTAATCCCGTGACACAGCCGTTGATACTTATATCATCCGCAGGATTCATCAGTGTCCAATCAACAGTAGCGTTAAGTCTAAAATTTATTATTTAAATATCAATACGTTACATATTCTCTTTTGATGCGTACTTTTATTCCAAAGTGCATCAATCTTGACTCTAGAATGTTGATAATTTATCAAGTGCAAGTTATATTTACTTAATTTTCTCGCACGTTGCTATATCGGAAAAGAACATATTCCATGGAGCGTAAACATCTGGAACTTGCACTGTTAATTTCTCAACATTGACAGCCATATATAAAACCATATTTTTGAATGATGTCAGAATTTTTCTGACCGATTCAATTTCCGCTATAACTTGCTTCTTCCCTGCATCATCATTCAGACGTTCCATGATATCAGTGAGAAACTTTTGCTGCCGTAACATACTGAATGCGTAAGGATTACTGTCTGCAAATATTCAAGAAATGCATATGATAAAGCCTAAATTTTTTGGCATTTATATTACATATGCGATGAATAAAAATCGATTTACCTTTGTTATACAACAATCCGTTCATTAAATCCCTTGCAATTTTGTTTCCTCTTCTCTTTGCTTGAGCAACATCGTTTATAATTTTCGTCGCTATTACTTTTAATCTGTCAACTGTTAACTCAGTGTCGTATAAAAGCTCCTTAATCCATTGTACTCCTTTCTCATATTTTTCTAATTCAAGCTACACGAATAAAAATATATAAAAGTTAGAATTTGTTTTGAATAATTTGCAATTATTCTTTTATAGAAGAAAGAAATGTAGCAGCTTATACATTACTTGAAGCGACAAATAAACACTGTGACTGTAGGCTCCGCATGAGAATCTCGCGGAAGTATTAAAACCGATTTGAGTAGAAGTTTCAATAGTGTCCGCTTCCAATTCGGCTACTACTTCCTCATAAGGGATCAATCGGCCATCCCTTTTCACTGGAGATTCCATGATCATCTCTAATAATAATGGAATATACTTTCTATATTCTCTACTAACAGAGGAAGTGTCCATAATAATATGTAGCTGTGTTCGAATAAAAACAATAATTAATATCCCATTAAATAATTGATACTAAACTAAATATAAATGTACGTTTTCAATTTTTTGCAAGTAGAAAAAAGTGTTTTACGTATTTTCACAAATTATGCTTTTTAATGGAGTAACGGTAAATAAAAATGATACTCACATAAACAAAGTTTGTATTAACATGATCTAAATAAGTATAGAATGGTAATTTAGTGACATCCAATCTAGAGTGTTGCTCCAGGGTTTCCGTGGTATAACTTTTAATGTGATGAAAATTAATAGAATCTGTACCAGGTATAGGTACACTTTCCAACAATTCGTCAGGTACAGGTTTCTTGAAAGAAACAATGTCAATAAGATATCACAAGTCAGTAATAAAATTTAGATATTTAGAAAAAGATTTCAGCACAAATATTTTCTATGTTTGGTGATATACTTTTTGTTAAATATGTACCTCGTTTTCTTTGATGGCTTGTTGAAGTTCTACTTCTTTTTGTTCTAAACCATCCGTACCCAATTTCTCTATCTGCTTCGCTATTCGCTTCTCCTCCTCTTGCGTTAACGCGCGTTGCTTTTCTATACTAGGTATGCCATTTACAACAACCATGGGTGCGTCAATAAAATATTTTTTAAGAAGATTCAACCAATACGATTCCAATTCATTCTCCAATTTTCTAAAGTCACGTATATTGTTTAATCTGCAATCAAGCTGTTATCGAAAATAAACCAATTATAATCGATGAGTATGTAACTGATAAATGTTGGATAAAATGTAGCTAATGAATGAGCCAATAATATACATACATCTTCATTTGTATTTCCATACAATACGTGTCCAAAGATTATATCTGCCACTATATCATGTGGATCATTTTCCAATGTGCTTAGCAATTCAAGAATGCTTTTGTGAACTAAAGTTTTCATTCTTTTCATGTCGATACCTTTGTCAGCGCATATGTCATTAAGTACTTTCATCAAAGATTCTTTGATCAGAGGAATTTTGCTTTTCGGCACGTTTTCAAACTCAAAACTCAAGGCTGAGATCGAGAATTCATACAGAGCACAATTCACGTTGCTGGCATAGGGATCATCTCTCTCGACAAATTCCTTTTGCAACGGACTGACTGATGTGTCAGTGAGATATTTCAAAAGTAAGGAACAACCGAGATAATCGTATAATTGAAAAACTACAGACGGTCCTCGCCAAGCAACATACACCATTCCGTTATCTTCGTCATCGCACGGATAACAGACATCCCGATCCACACTTTCTGTGAGCGGTTCAATCGGTGTCTGCCAAGGCCTTTTAAACGCACATACACCTCTCTTTCCCTACAATTTGATAATTGTAGGATAAATATCAAGAATATTATCGAAAATATCAGAATAACAGCAAAATTATTAATCGTATCTTACATTAATAATCTAAAATATTTTATACTTGATTTCTGTTGCACAAGATTCAGTTTTAAATTCAATCAGTAATAGTGTAGAAAAGTAAAAAAAGATTTGATTAATACCTTCATTAATATTTTCTGTTCTAAGGGCATTAACGCTTGAAAAACTTCAGCATGCTTCACTTGGCCGGCTATTAACACAGTTAAGTTTTCTGGTCTATAAAACTCTTTATGATACTGTTTGACTTTCTCATTGTTCGTACTTTCCTGTAGGTTTTTCAATGCGCCTATAAGTACAAAGATAAATATGTTAATAAAATGATTGTAATTCAATTATTTGTGTTTTTATACCTCCAGTATTTGATTTATATCCACATGTAGGATAAACTGCTTTTGATAATTCTGAAAATGTTATCCATTCTCCTGTATTTTCAGTACCCTGCATTTCACAATAAACTACACCTGCATCTTTACCCTCGCCAGTAATGTGATGTACTTCTGTAAGAAATGCTGCATCCTATCAAAATACAGATCTGTTAAACATTTTTTTATATCTTATTTCATTTTTAAATAACATAATTATATGTAATAAATGTATCCTGCAAACTTACAAAATTTAAAATAATCTTTTCATTTATACTATAAGCTAAGCTTTTAAAAACTTTAAAAAATTATTTTATCTTTAAATTGCTGTTATACCTTAATCTTTTAAATTATAAATATAATACTGTTTTGTAATCAAAATATATAAAGGTTTTAGAAATAGACTATAATATTTTGTACAGCAATATTTTACACTAAAGAGATTTTTAAATATAAATAGTTTTTAAAATCTTTACCTTAAGAGTAGGGTAAAGAATGTGTTCTAAGTATATTGGCATTAGAGAGAGAAACCCTTGACTGCCAGCTGTTGTCATAGTATAATAAGTGTGGTCGCGACATGTGCGAGCGTTAGTACCAGATGCAAGGCATCTATTAGCCCAAAGATCCAAAAGACCCTTATAAGGATAATCTTCACTGCCCAAAAAAATAAGATGTTCCAATGTGTGAGGAAGACCATCATCATCGAGCGCCTCGGTAACTAAAAAAAAATTATTATAAATAAAAATGATCAAAAAATTCCATTGATACATTTTGTAACATTTTAGAACAGTTTTCTATTGTTAAAAGAACAATTTATGTGAAAGAATTTTTCATCATATAACATTATTTTTATTTTTATTACTCACCAAGATTGAAATAACCATTGACAACCGGTCCTTCTATTTCCGCGATACAAACTGTGAGACCGGTATTCATGGATTTGTACATATGGAACGGAATTGTATCGTTGATTTTCTGCGAACATATCTGCTCAAAACCGCCCATATTTCCTCTCGGAGAACTATCAACAGGCGGCATATCGGATACCGACACTTTTCAGATATATAGACTTTGTGGAACTCTCAATTATAACATTAATTGTAACAAAGTATTACAATATTACAATACTGTTGATTACTATTGGATACCATTTACTAGCAAGGGTTACATGACAGTGAAATTATGGAGGATTCACATTGCAACTATAGAATCCAATAGCAAATATATCCAATGGGAAAATTTATTTTCTAGGGACAAAGATGTTGTTAGCTAAACTGCGTGGTTTGCTATTGGGTATCGCGATCCTACATTTGAACGTGATCTTCACTTATGATGCACATGTGTATTTTACATAATTGATCTTACTCGTGCAAGTTCATGTGTTAAGGCGGTTAAGGCATTCCTGCGACCATGTTACAAACAAATTTTTAGCCTCTAAATGAATGCCGTCTTTTGACAGCTATGGCAAGATATTCCAGTGAATCAGATTCAGATCACAGTAGTAGATATCGAAGAAGACGAAATCGAAAATCAAGGTAAAAGCAAAAAATAATATTTAACTTTTACTTTAGATTTTAAATTGTACAATTTTCAATTGGTCTTGTACTATAACTACGTTTAACGTAAATTTAATTGATATTTTTAGCAGAATGTGTTTAATTTGTTAATTTAGCCGATATTGTTACTTGTAACAAAAGAAAAAAATACTAATATATATTTATTTTTCACAGATCCAGCAGTTCAGAAAGTAGTGAGTCTTCGCCACATCGACGAAGGTCATCAAAACATTCAAAAACAAAGCGTAGACATCGTTCACATTCAAGAAGCAGAGGAAGAGATCGGAATTCAAAAAATTATAAAGGCTCTAGAAGCAGTCATTCGAGAGAACGAGATAGAAGACGTTATCGTTCCAGCACAGGTAGATCACACTCTTCAGATCGCACAAGAAGGAAAGCTAGATCCACTTCCAGAGAGAAATCACGAAGTCCTTCCAGCAGTTCACAATCAAATCAACTTAAAGTTACTGAAAAGAGCCAAATTCTTGTGAAAGGTAAAAATAGTAGCTAATGTTAATATTATAAAATTTGAGTTTAATGATTTGAAATATCAATAAACATAAATTATATTCACAGATGATTTTCCTATCGAACCACGTTTTAAAGACGGTGTGCTCGAGGAAATAAATGCTGAAGGCTTCACTCCTAAACAATTTACATCGTCTGCAAACAAAGAAAGTAAATTCAAGAATATCGTTATAGACATTACTTCCGACACTATACAGATTCCACCAGTACCTAATGTTTCAAGTGGTTCAGAAAGTATATTTCATACATCGGTAAGTTTTTCCTTTTGTTTAAATTTCCTAATGTATCTGTAAATAATATTTATTTATTTTTTCAGATTATGATGGATCAAGAGGCGAGGTTTGATAAATGGGTGAAAAAGCTCTATACTCTTAGACAAAAAGCTATAGCTGATTTGATACATACAAATGTTACTTGAACCATACCAATATCATAATATTTGTCAATGATAATGACATAATTCTGTATGAAAATTTATTTGACTTGTGCAGAAATACGTGTATAAATACGTACACATGTATGGATGAATGCTTATTATGGGCATCCACTAATGATCGCTGAACAATTTTTTCTCCTATTGTCTCCAAATATCTACTAATATAAACTGTACAATGCATTAAATATATTATTTTGACATTTAACAGACGTATGTGTGTACCCATTAATTAATAAAATTGATTCAAAACTCACAAAAAATATCCGATGCAATTGCAGGTTTAACGCAGATATTTGTACGTATCATTTATTTTATATCAGACTTTACAGTGCGTATTAATTTGCGTATAGTTTTACAAAGTTGATTTTAAATACTGTAAAGATAAGAAAAGAAACAACTTTACACTTTATAATCAGAGAGATAGAAGTATGAAACGTGAGAGAGAATCGTACCTAATATTTTTATGATAAAGTTTAAATGCATATTTAAATCTGATCAAATCACACATTATATCGTAGTAGAATCGACAAAAGCAAATTGATATTGAGATATTCCATTTTCAACTTTTACTTGAAAACAGTAAAAAATTAACTTTCTCTAATATCCTTTATTTATTGCCACCATTAATCCATTGCCTTGATTAATCTATACACCTACGAATATTTAAAAGTGTGTACGCACCACATGGTATTCATACATTCGCGTGATGTTTATCATTGTATACTGAAATTGGTAATGCAAGCAAACTTGAAACTAATATAGAATGAAACGTACACTCGGTCCATGATGTGTGTGATCTGTATATATATTGAAATATATATAGGTATATGTTTCTATTATCTTTGGCCAAAATCAAAAGAATTCAATCAGTTTTTACGTGGATATTAAAGTTTAATTATTCTAATCTATTCAGAAATACAACACAATACTTTATTTCCCATATTATAATCATGGTTGTTTTTAAATATCTATTTCAATCATTTACACACAAAAAGTCATTCTGCAACAATGCTTTTATATAACTCGGCTTAATTTTACGATGTCTATAGATAATAATCTATAATGTGGAATGTATTACAGAATGTATTACAATTTTTTTTCTTTCTGACATACTACTACAGTTTTTTTCGGGTTTATTGACTAAGTCTTAATCTTTTATTATCAAGCATCATGAATCAAATTTAAGAGATACATTTCATAAATGCTGATGCTTAATTTACGTATAATGTGTAATATTCAAAGTTAATGAATAGAGAAGCCCGAGTACCTAGATACATTTGCCGACAATGAATATGTCGCGTGCGCATATTAAATAATAAATATACATAAAATTAAAAAATGTGAAAAATAATTTTTTATAAAATGCACTAAAAATAGACTAATGGCAAAGTGCAGTCAATTTATTTATTGCACACAATTTTGGATTTTTAGTTCCAATTTTAAACTATGTAAAACATATTTAAAAAATAATACTGTTATATAATATCATTAATTCTTATTAAAGCAGCGGCTTTTCAACCAAAATTGCAGAATAAATAAACAAGTCTTGTCACAAGGAATATCTGAACACCAAAATTTCTTTTGAATCAATAGCCGTTATTTGTAACTTCTATTACTTTTCAGTCCAAATATTTTGTAAAAATATTTATATAGTCACAATAATCTCATAAATGTTTACTGTTTTACATATTATGATTGCTAAAACAATATATTTACCTTGTTGAAAATATTCTGAAAATTATTTCATTCTCATACTAGAAATTTGTGTGCTCAGCATCTCATGCTTATCATATTGAAGCATTGTTCATAATGAGAGCCATAAATTTTCTCTAATAATTTACAAATGAATGTATCTATAGTTCATTGATCATAACACATCACATAAAACTGCATCGCAAACCCAACGACTTGAATGCTCAGCTGTCCTTCATTGGTTTCATTATTCACTCAACTCTTATTTGTAAATATAGTCAACAAGCAGTGTGTTAGAGTATTCGTAATAGTGAACATTTCATTACTGTAGTTTAACTAACATATCGCATTTACTACTTGTCTGAATAACATATTTCGAGAATACGGAAGAAATATTAACTTTTCTATAATAATCAACTCGCAGACATTTTATTTTATATAATTCCATTTCTCTTCGATTTCTTGCACTTTTTCTAGTGATTCAATGATTCAGTCGTTTACGTTTAGCCTTTTGTGATATAAAAGATCCCTCATAACCCTCTCGTGATGCATCAAATATCTCTGATCGATAACAAATTATCGCACAATTGCATCATATAATTTTATGATCTAGAGCTAATAGAAAGTATATAATGGAAAGACATACTGAAGATCTCTCGATAAATATGTAGTACGTCTGAAACACAATAATTTAGAAAAATATAGTATATAATATAAAATATATATCGAGAAAAAAAATCAGTCAACGTACTAAAAATGCAGTAACAATCCTAAATTCGACAGAATATTTACCTAAGTTTACTCTGGACAGCGTACAATTTTTATACATTGATCTACTGGTGATTAATATTCTAGAATAATTGAAAATTTTCTCTGCTCAATTTTTCGTAGTTTCATTCAAAGTCTTCTAAATTTACAATATCGACTTCCATAATGCTGTTGCCGGCGAATTGTCCGAACACTCCACTCGATGCGCTGCGTTTCACAACTAAAATATTCGAAAGCACGATAATATATTAATAAGTCGCGCAAAATTTCATTTGTAATAATTTGAAATTTGACGACTAACCGCTAGAAGAATTCACTTTCTGCAGCATATAGGTAGGCAAGTCTTGGCATTCGCGTGCTATGTACGTTCCGACGACTGACATGTCAGTGATCGGTGGTGTCACTACTTTCATGGTTTCACGTACGATTGCAGTATCCACTTCGTAATAACCTAATTTTATAGAATTATATACAATATTCATAAAGAATATCTATATAATGCATTATCATATATTACAGAATAAAAATAATCAATATTATTATTTATTATATGTCAACAAAGATCAGTTAATTTGAATTGAATCACAAACTCACCGTTGTACATCTTTCTAAGGAGATCATACATATTACGAGGTGGTAATACACGCTGACGGTTCAATGGCATAACAAAGCAGCACTGACCATCAATATCTATAATACCTGTTTTATTCTATAAATAAATATAACATTAAAAAAATCTTGTACAATGTATAAAATAGGAATAAAATACTGATACTCACAATATTAAAATCGTGTATAAAGCGACCTTGGCGTCCGCCGCGGAAGTCGGGCACATCAATCTTCTCGTAGTGCTCATTCTCAAGATCAATTTCAAATCTCTCCTTGAAGAAATTATTGATGTCGTGATCCATCTGCTTCGCAATATCCAGTGCATCTTGCTCCATAACTCTAGTGAGACTCTTGGCGAATAGATCGGAATCGGCTAACAATCCCTGATGAACTCCATTGTTTCCGTAAGATGCTTTATTTGAGCTGTCGTACGGAATGCTGTACCAGCCAGTACGGAATCTGTGCATCTGAGTTCTCGCGTATTGTTTGTAGATGTAAAGTCCACCAATGACGCCAATAATCAGTATCATCAGTGCGACGAGAAAGAGCAAAAATGTAGCTGTTACATGTATATGGTGGATGCTTCTTCTGGCAACGAAGTAATGACCATTGGAATCGCTTTTTGGACGTGCTGCTTCGGGATCAGTTTTTGAGCTATCCTGCTAAAAAGTACTTGTACTTTTAATCAGTTAATCAGTTAATTTTGGATCTCAGATCCAAAATCCTCATTCTCTCTATTAATAGGCAAAATAAAATAATGTAAGAAACTATACAAATTTAAATAAAATTTACACAAATAAAGATACTATGTATAAAAATTGCTCTTTCTTTCATTGATGAGACTATACATTGAAAAATCAATATAAAATAATAAAAAAAATTTAATTCTATAATGTGCAGTTCTTCAAAAATAAACAATGATATAGAAGACAACAAGAACCAGAAGTGTGGTTGAAGCATAAAACTATTAACTATTATAAATTATAATATATATATAATTTATATATAATATATACAAAATATAGATAAATATTAATTATATATCTATATTTATAAATAATTATTTTTCTTAAAATACAATTATATATAATTTGCGAGAGTTTTTTCTAGAGAATATCACAACTATATTATTTTCTCGATTATTTAGTAAACTATGCGATAAAAAAAAATTTAAAGGTAGCAATAAAAATTTTGAAGGTAAATTTGGAAGCTAAAATATTTTTGTTTTCTATAAACATCTCAAGTATTTTGTCTTTTTAAGGGTACTTAATGTGTTACACATCGACTTTATTGACGTGTGAAAAATGTATAATGTACTGGGATAATAATAGTCCCTTTTATCATAATGAACGTAAGTTTATGTTGATTCTGATTCAGATGTGTAAATATGTAAACTGTTTGTACAAAAAACATCAATATTGTCAACGCAAGTGTGCACTTGCGCTTATAAATATATAGATATAATATGTACATACATCAATATAAATTGACAAATTCGTTGAATATATGTCTCTTCGTATAGCGAGAATTGACATTAAGTAATTTTGTAAAACGCAACCTTGACAAAGTTGCTCAAAAATAACTTGTTTTTGTTGATGAATCGATTGATCAAAGGTAAATATCTATTCGCGATGAATTTCATGACATATACTAACCGCTGCATTTTCCTCAACAAACAATGGCTGCTCCATTTTGTCGGACGCCTTCTTTTCGGTAATCGCTTTCGTGATGACCGTCATCTTTGCTGCTCTTTGGTATACGAGTGCCTTTTAAATATCGATACAATGCGACAAACTTTACTAGAACCGAGCCGTGTATTAGGCTATCGCCAATAACGACGATCGTTTATCGGAGACTGATGAGTCCTCAAACAAGGACAAAGAGGGGGGGAAACAAGACCTAAATGTAGCAAAATCTCACGAACAACTGCGTATTGCTGCGTATACACAAATGCAAAATGCTGAGATTGATCGCTGACAACCGCGCCCTCAACGAGCTGATGAAAGTGCACGCGCGTGCGTCAATCGCAAACATAATGGTGTATTCACACTACATTCGATTTGCAATGACCAATAAAAAAATGTGTTTTCTAGAAATTTTAGTAAAGACCATTTATCTTCAGAAAATAAATTTTTCTATTGGATATAGGAATATTATATATTGGATGCAGTGCAAATCGTCCAATCTAATAGACACAAATATCAAATCTGATTGCAATTCTAAAATTTTATTTTATTATTATACTTATTTAAGAATTTTTATAAGCTTATAGAAAAGAGTATTATTTGCATAAAATTATAATATTGCAAAAATTATGTTAATATATGTAATACTTACAAATTGTGAAAATAATCTGCTAATGTTCTAAATAGAAATAATAACATGGATACTGTCAAAGATGCAGAATCAAAACATGTGATGAAAAATATTGAGGAAGAATCATCTGTTGACAAAGTGAAGTCTGAGATTACATTGTTTAATCATCAAGAATTAGTAAAGTTAACTAAAACAACTATTGGTAATATTATTAATAGCGATCCGTTGTTTTCCGGATTGCCTTCAGATGTTACGATAGAAGAGCTTAAATCATATATTGCAGTTGCACAAGGACAAGCCATAACTTTATTTTTAAATCGTGGAGAACTGCCGAAGTTATCAGTGGTGGTAATATATTTTTACTTTTAATGATTTGTACGGTATATATGTATATATGTTATCAATTTGTTAAAATATATGTATTGCTTCAATAAATTTTACTTCTGTTTTGTTCAAGGTTCCTCCACATGATACAACAGTTCTTGATCTGAAGAAGGCCATAAAACGACATATGAATTTATCTTTGAAAAGAGAGAACATTAAGAAGAAAATAAATTGGAAACACATTTGGAAGAAATATCATCTTTGCTTCGAAGATATTAAACTTTCTAATAATAATGAAAATATTAAACTTTATGGTGTTACTAATAAGACTGAATTACATTTTACAAAAAGACGCAGAGAAAAGAATAAATTGATAAAAGAGTATTAGCCTTTTTTTAAAATTAATATTTTATAATAAATTTATCCTTTGTATTATAATGAATATCATGTATCAATACTATTAATCTCATACATTAATATATCTAGCAAATGTCATGTATTAATCTATTATTTAAACATTAATTTACAGTACCATAATAATTAAGATAGTACAAAATATATACATAATTATATAAATAGTACTTAAACATTGAGTGAATACATATACTATGTAAATAATAAATAAATAGATGTTTTTTGAGAAACTAATTAGAAATTATAAGAATCTTGATCTATATCAATCTAACTATTTATTAATATATTATTCTTTTGGTTTTTCTTCAGCTACAAGAATTTCACAAGTCAATCCTGGTGTACAATCTTCCAACATCAAACAAGTCAATTCGAATGCAACAGACTTATAGTGATTTGTCACAATTAGTGTCTTCAAATTGAACATTCTGTACAGTGATTCCAGTCCTCTCTCAGTGATCTTTTCACAGCCGGATATGTCCAAGTACTCCAGTTCTGGAAATTCTGCTGAAATCTTGTCCAAACCCCAATCATCAACATTCTTACAGTTTTTCAAACTGAGCCATTTGAGCCTCATAAGACCACACAAGTTGCTCAGACCCTCATAATGCATGTCAAATCCATTAACATCTATCGCTTCAAGATGATAGCGTGGATTGTACGTGTTGGGCAAGTTAAACTTGCCTTTCTCATCTTGTTCGGTCCAATGAGTGTCACCCTTAAACCTTACTCGACCACCACGATGAATAATAAAGTGAGCAGTTGCTAAATCGGCGCCCAATGTCTCGTGTCTCTCTGGTATAAATTTCTGACTATACTTGGTAGCCTGAACTTTTTGATGGGCTAACCACTTTGGAATATTGCCAATGGAGAAATCAGTCATTTTGGGCGCATCCGTGGGAAACCACAGAAATTTCTTGGGCTTTTCTGGATCGTCTCCGACTTTGGATTGCTGCAGATCTTCCTCTTTCTTTCTCCATAAATATTGCCTTTTTTCATGATCTACACTATATGCACGTGCTGTTTGAGCGAATAAACTATTTTGAGAGCACGAACTTTCGCACAGTTTACTTAATGTAAACGTTAATCGCCTTTTCAACATTATTAGTAAGGATTTTTGAGATTTATATGTGCATGTGCTATACCTCACCCCAACCTAATCTAACCTTAACCTTAACTTGACCAAATTCTAACCTACTTGTCAAATTGTAGGCAATATATTAGCTCCATTCAGAGGATCGTCATTCCCTTTTAAAAAAGAGACAGTTTCAACTCTACTATGTTTTGTATCTCAAAAATGACAAACTAAAAATCACATGACAAAAATTGGGAATAATAATGAAAGCACTGATATTAACGAGGCGCGAATGTGCGCTATTCGGCACTTTTCTTCTAGAGTATTTTTCACACTTATTTTGTCACACATCACTGTAGGAAAAGGTTTAGTTAAAAAGTTGCGTTAAGCAACAGTTTACATTTTTGTTACAATGTGTAGATGAATAATTGTACATGAAAGTAAACTTTCTCTCTCTCTCTAATAAATACCTTATATTCAATATAATTTAACATCATTACATTTAAATATGTTAATAATATATATTAGAATCTAATAATTAGATTATATATTTGCATTTGTAATAGTTATATTACTTTAGTAATTATATTATATTATGTCAAAAATGTTTTGTATTAGAATAAAAAACTGATATACATAGAAAATACATTGTTGAGTTCTAATAAATTCCAATACATATTTAACAACTGTTTTTATAGAATTCTATATCTTTCCAAAATCTGAATTTTAAGTTATCTGACAATGTTTAATTAATTTTACGATCGTTTGTGTTGTGATCTTTATCAAATTTGTCAAGCATATCAAGACGTAAGAAGGAACCAACAATAGATCGAGCAGTGGACGCAGCTCTGCCGAGCCCACCTTCCATAGAACTTGCGCTACTGCTGCTTTTGGCGATTTTAACGGGTTTTGTTTCTGCCCAAATATTCACGGCAAATTTCAACTCTGCTATTAGCGCTTCCATTGGCGTAATCTGTGCGAAAGAAAGTAATTAAATTTGCGATTTTGACGCATAAATACTTAGAAAAAGAAAGCAAACAAAGATAGAGAAAAAAATTCTTACTTTTTCCCTCACAGCAACTTTCCGTATATTCCAAAGAAACTCACAAATGGCGGTAACTAACGAAGCACCGCAACCGCACATAAGAACGAGGAAGACACCCCCGACATTTGCCAACCCCAACTCGGCCGTATTGACACTTTTTTCAGCATCATCCTTAACGCACAATCCACCACCCATTTCTTGCCACCATTTCTTTTTCAATGCTTGTAAGGTGCCTTTCTCTCCCAATGTCAAAATGGCATTATTGATTGGCACTCTATATGGTGAATCTACGAAAAACAATAGTTCGTTTATATCGATTTCAATCATTCCCATCTCCTAAACATATTTTTAAAAACTCTATATTAAACATAAACACTTCTCGTAAAATTGTTTTCAAAGTTTCTCTGTGCACTCACTGCGCGGCATGGCTATCCCGTATCCCTTGTTGTCAATTAGACCGCCTATTTTATCTAATTCACAAGTTCGTTCCATGCGATACTCAATAGAAGTCGACTCCATGAGGAAGGCATATTGTCGTTTACCTTTAATAACCCGTTCGACACCTAAAATAGAAATAAGGCAAATTTTTAAAATAATGTAGAAATAGTTTTTCTTTCTTTCATCGAAATTGATAATCTATCCAATTTTTTACAATATTTCAGCATCTCTCTTTCTCTCTCTCTCTCTCTCATGTTGATTATATATATTCAATTTTTCTTTTCTAATTCTACCTTCATCATTACTACCGGTGAATACACTTGGCCTCCATTCTGACATTGCTGCCCACATTCTCTTATATGTCGAGTAATTTGAATCCTACGATAAAATTGAATGCCACCATCTCAAGGAATATCAATAATTTAACATATATAAATATATCCAATCGGATAATATAAAATATATTAATCTATACTTGAAAAAAGGTCGACGTTGAGCCTCCTTTTACGGATCCGTACTTAATCTTTGTCTGTTTTGCCAGATCTTCAACCCCTTTAATTGGCGTTTCCATCTTATCCATGGTCAAAAATGCGGCTAAATTGGCCGTGTACGAGGAGATCATTATCAATGTGAAGAACCACCACATCGTCGCAAGCATGCGGATAGACGGTGCTCTGAAATTTTATTTTAGGTAAAAATATTTGATCTGTGAATAAATAATTCAGAAAGCGTATAAAATTTTATTACATCTAATGAACAATTGCTAGTTAAATTGATAATAAAGTATGTGTAATAAATCGTCAAGTCAAATATATTTGCAATTAGTTGAAATAATAACTAAAATCTCAAGAAAGAAGCAATTGCAGGAATGAACAAAGAAGTATGTGAAACAAAAATAATACTATGAGACCTACTTGGGTAGTATATCTGACCCTTGCTGCATGAGCGAGCCAATAGTAAGCCACAACGAATTTGTCAAATTAAAGTTGTTTTCCAGTTCTTCAGGATCGGAATTGCATGGATGTGGATTATCCCATTCGCCGGGTGCCATTCTTTAAAAAAAATTGAATTATTGCAAAACGTAAACTTTATTTTTGACATTTTAAGTCTCCCTTGATTTATTTTTATTCAATATTAACTTGAAAGCTAAACTTCCTCATTATATTCGATATTTTCTATTTGATAACAAATAAAGTATCTTATTTAGTATTGATGTCTTACCTAGCTTGAAGAAACAACATAATCGATACAGCTAAATAAGCAGTCGCCATGTAAATCCACACATCCGCACTCAGCGGAAGAAGAAAGGAAAATAAATCGGGTACTTTTTCTTCCGGTTTGCTAAATAAGATGCTAATACCTAATTTGAAATTGATCAAGTATAATATCGTTGTAATCGCAATATTGCATATAATTTTAATTATTTCATCATCGGCGTAGATACGTGAAAAATCTCGATACATGCTAATTAAAGGTGCCGAAAATATAGATAACGGTTAAAATTTTACCGAGATTCATAAACGGGAGAGAAAAATCAACTGCTGAAGCCCTTTGAGATGTTACGGTCAAATCACATATCGCGAGATCAGCATCCTGCAAAAAGTAGTTGTATGTACGATTAAACTTCCGTACATTAAATTTTATTTATTATTTTATATTTGCATGCACGCATAAAATAAAAGTGTTGTCATACACAAGATTTTAAGTGAAAAAATTAAGTACAATTTTTTAAAATAGGTTTGTGCAAACACAAAACGTCTTACACGATCCAAAAGGCGCTTAATTAGGCCATTCCAAGTTTTTGTTGATGGATTCAACGTTCCGTATTGTTTGTCCGGAACAAGCTCGAATTCAAACTTAAAGCCCAAATAATTGGCGATCTCTTCAATCAGATCGATGCAGTAGCCTTCATAACGTTTTTGATCAATCACAATACCACGCGTTGAACCGTCGGTCACTTCAGACACATATGGTGCACCCTAAAAAAGTATACATACATACATATATCTTGAAAAATATTTGAATTGCCATTAAATGTTTTTAACATCAGTCAGGCGCACAGTCACACATTTTTTTCAATTCGTATAAAAATTTCATTAGATTTACTATGATGTTTTATACTAGTCGTTTTCCTTTGTTACAAGTATTCTCTCCTTAACATTGCATTCAATATAATTCCAGTTGCAGTTTTGTAACAAAAGCCGCAGTATATAATCTTCTAAGATATCGTCATTATTTTATTATGATGTCGACGAAACATGTACTCCGTTAATGTGAGAGAAGTTAATATTATAATTGGCAATTGCCGTGTTAAGTGGTATTACGAACTACTCTAGTGGTAATCTTGAACGTCTTCTCTTGAATGGATTTGTATAAATAGCTTTCCAATTCCTGCTCAGTGTGCACACGATGCACACCATCATAGTCCCAATATGCCGTTTTCGTGACATTTGGTTGTCGAAAATCTAATATATAGATGTTAAAGTCTCGTCGACGGCCATCTGCGTCAAAATTCATAATTCCTGTTATCTTCCCTGCCTTCGATATCTGAACAAAAAATCGTACTTACGTAACGAAAATTTAATTCAGCATTACCAATATTAGATAAGATCGTTTAAGCTTGTTAAAAACAGAAATTAAAAAAATTTTTTTGTTTGATTAATATTTGAAATGAAAGCTCCAATATACTTTTAATATATTTCTATCTTTATATCTATTTCTATAGATATAGATCTATATCTATTTCTATTTCTCTAAGTTAATTTGTATTTTTTTTATCAAGAAATAAGAGAGAATCATGGAAAAATTTACCTCTCGCATAATGTTGGTAATGTTAGGTCCTGCTTGATACTTATTGTTTTCGTCACAAGAAAGTGGTCCAGGATCAACGACTAGAGATTCCTCATTATTAATATTCCTCGCATTCAAAGCTTTCAGTGCCTTGTCAAACAAAAATACTGCGTCATAGAGAATCGCCGAGTCTAACCAATTAATTCCTTCCACATCGGTTTCTCTCAAGCTCAATCCAGTAATGTTGGCTGTAGTGCCATTTCGTACTTCAAAAATAGGTAGTTTGGATGCATCCTGTGATTCAAATAGCATGTTTTAATTTTTTATAATCTGAAATACATTGCTATTTTCTTATCGACGTAAAGTAATCGGAGTATAGTAAATGACATTACCAAATACGTTATAATAAAATTGCAATAATCTGCTAATAATTTGACTTCCTTTGCTTGATAGAGAACCTCGATGAGTTTGTGAGGCGTGACATCGATGATTACGTTGCAAATCGACAAAGAACGTATCTCCTTAAGCATTGAGCGATAATCCGGTCCTTCGCCTAGCTGTCGTACCGTAATAGGACTATCCTTATTTCGTTTCAGCGTTAAAGTCTTCTGTAAACGCGATAATCCATCCTCGTTTTCGTAAATTGCCGCAAAACTTCGCCACTGCATCGACTCCACTATGTCAGCGATAGCCTGTGCAGTATATCAGTAGCAAATATATAAATTATAAAAATAATAGAATTATTTTGAAAGACAATGCGATATCACAACCGTGGTTTAAACTTTAGAATTTCACAAACAGCTTTGATTCGATTCATTCAGTTTATATATTATATTATCGAGATTACAAAATCGCAGTCTTTCAAACGTGCTTGTAATTATAAAATGTTTTTTATATAACAGTTGACCTGGCTGACTGTCTCGCTATCTGGAAACACATTTATAATTGTCGGCGGATTCTTATTCGCACGTAGTTTCTCATTATCCCGCCAAACATATTCAATATGCGGTATGTCATATCGCGCTGCAATGCTCGCGACTATTCCACGAGTATGTATGCTTGCAGGTCCAAAAATGGCTGCCACACCTTCCTTGAGAAGCTCACAAGCTATATAATATAATTTTGGATGAATAGTCACATTAACCCATGCGATCAAAATTGGAGCAAATATGTAGCATAAGATTTTTTTTTCAAACATTCACATATATTTTTTAATGTTAAGATTAAAATTTAATCGAAATAAGTATATCGTGTGAAATATTTGTTATTATTAAAAAGTAATAAATTTTTTGTTTATATAACTTACCGGCTACAGCAGTTTTAAAGCTATCGGTATCAATGTCTATATACTTGGTGACAGGAATGAGTTCAAATGCGGGCGCAAACTGTTCCTGTTTCGTCTCAGAAATTGCTTTCAAGAACGCAGATATGTGATCTTCATCGCCTTTGTGAAAAATTGCTCCTAAGAAATATTTGGAGATAAGTATATTAATAGATAAAATTTAGTGCTGTTACATTAATTAATGTTAAGTCCATTAAGACTGGCTAATTAACTGTGACATTTGTGAAAATTGCGTTATACGTGTTGGATCAATACTAAAAAGAATGAGCATGGTATTATTACATGCAACATTTTTCAGTACTTGAGTGAATTTTAATCGTGAAATTATTGTTGAAAATTTATGCATATCTCGTTCACTTTGTGGAGAAACTTTTTTTTACAATTAGAATCTTCAAAAATATAATCTATTTATTAAATAAATATTTTGTTATTAAATAAACAATCTTT